GTGAAAAGTTTCACAGTCTGATTTTTGTATGTTAGATTCTATAAAAGTGACAGAAGGCAGGCTCTTCATCATATCCAGCATCTTTTAGCAGGTCCCACAGCCACTGACACCCAATGCCTCAGAGCTTCCTCCAGGGGACTGTGGTAGAATAAATTTTGGGCCCCTACCTAGCTCTGATCAGAGTATTTCTGCTCCCAGGTCAGCCCACAGGGGCCCTAGAATGGAAGCCAGTGGCCAACTAACATTTTGAGCCCAGATTCTAAAACTGTCATGGGCAACCCAAAATACCCATTTCAGAGAAGGAATTTTGTGATTTTCAGATTTCACACACCCCCCCCAAGAAAAACACCTACACATCCCAAAAGAAATACACAACAGACCAAGCGAAACAGGACATCCCCACTTCCCAAAATATCTCCACCAACCAAAGGAAAAATAAATCATTAAGAGGGGCAAGGGGCATTGGCAGGTGCCAAGAAAGTATCTGGTGATGCTGTAGTATTCATGAGCATCATGTTGTAGATCCCAGGTGTAGGTGTAGACGTTTGGGAGAAGACCATGGGTGGTGATGGGGTCCCTGCTCAGTGACACCCCTAGCTGTTAAGATCTAAAACCTCTGCCTGAGGTGGGGTGGGGGAGTGGCAGGCCTGAGTCAACAGAGCTAGCAGTCTGGATACATGGTCTTGGAAAAGGCTGAAGTCATCTTCCAGCTGATTTCCCTGGAACCCAGACGTCACAGATTTACTTATTTTTATTGTTTCATAACCTCTTGCTTTCAAAACACAAAACAGTGTCAAGCTCCTAACTGTACAGGCCAGCAAAGTTGTGAAAGATGGTCTATTTACTGAGGAAGACAGGCATTGTGATATTGCGACATAGCTAAATAGGTGCAGTTGGGGAAGTAAGTTCCTAGAAGTGAGAGCAATGTTCGGTAACACACAAACACACCCTGGGGGAAGGACTGTAAAAGAGGGGAGAAAATCTGTTCCGTTCCTTTTCTTGTCATTTTGTAAAATTCCATGTATACATGCAAAGTATTGCACCGCAATACAGTATTTGTAGCAAAAAAATAAATAAAACAAATCACATACTTGTGCAGCATAGGTGTTTGTTTTTAACCCCCTCCAGTCCATGATGCTTACTGTAGGTTGTTAGTAGGTCATTTCTCTCATCCCTCCATCAACTCACCCAGTTTCCTTCCCCATACATAAGAAAAGCCTGCTGGATCAGGCCAATGGCCCATCTAGTCCAGCATCTTGTTCTCACACTGGCCAGCCAGGTGCCCATGAGAAACCCATAAGTAGGACCTAAGTGCAACGACACTCTCCTCTCCTGCATTTTCAGACATCCTGTGATGGCCTGGGATTCAGACTCGGATGCTGAACCCGAGGGATCCCAGCCTGCACAGGATTCCCCGCCTCCAGAACCAGCTGAGCCGGGGCTGGGGCCTGAGCCTGAAGGGTCCTCGCCTGTGCTGGATCCTCAGGTGCAGGCATCAGCTGAGTCTGCTCTGGCTCCTGAGGTGATGGAGGACCCATTGCCTGCAGATGCTCCACTCTCAGCCCTGTCAGAGGGAGCTCAGGTTGCCTCTGGGTCCGGTAACCCTCTAGCCTCTCCTGAGATGCAGAGGCCTCAGGGCAGAGAGGCGGAGAGAACTAAGTTCCCGCAGGAGGAGTGCTTGCCTCCAGGCCAGGAGAGGCGAGTCACCAGAGGATTGGGGCCGCCCTATGCCTCGGGGCAGATAAAAGCCAGCCAGCCCCAGTCCGAAGTTGTGGGAGCAACATTGTTGGTTGCTAGTTCCTGCCTGAACCTTGTCCTGCTTTTCTGCCAGAGCTCCTGACCCGCCCTGGCTCCCTGCTTGCATGCCTGTTCCTGACTTCACCCGGCTCCCTGCCCTGCACCCAGCTTCAGCTACTATGGACTGCCTCCACGTTGCACCTTTGACCACGGACTGGACTTGGACCTTGCCTCTCGGGTAACCCACAGGACCAGCACACATCCAGTATTCAGAAACATTACCACCTCCATGGTAGCCAAGGATAGCCTTATCTGCAATGAATTTGTCCAATCCTCTTTTAAAGCCATCCTAGTTTTGAATTGTGGTGCTGGAAGAGACTCTTGAGAGTCCCATGGACTGCAGGAAGATCAAACCTATCCATTCTGAAGGAAATCAGCCCTAAGTGCTCACTAGAAGGACACATCTTGAAGCTGAGGCTCCAATACTTTGGCCACCTCATGAGAAGACTCCCTGGAAAAGACCCTGATGTTGGGAAAGATGGAGGGCACAAGGAGAAGGGGACGGCAGAGGACGAGATGGTTGGACAGTGTTCTCGAAGCTACGAACATGAGTTTGACCAAACTGCAGGAGGCAGTGGAAGACAGGAGTGCCTGGCGTGCTCTGGTCCATGGGGTCACGAAGAGTCAGACACGACTAAACGACTAAACAACAAAGTTGGTGGTATCGCCCTTTCAACTGTCACCTCAATATTTTGTAGATCCTAAAGAGTCATAGTCCTTGCCATATTGCTAAGAGGGTTTTAATTATCCATCACTATTTATTGCATTGTATCGCCCTTCCTTTTGTAGAACATCTTCCATCGGTATGTGCATGTGCATATCATGGGAACCTCTCAAGTATTTAGAAGCAACTCCCTTAGTTTTTGCTGGCCCCAATTTGCTGCCAAACTGATATGGCTGTCACTCAACCTTCTGTGTTGGCTGCTGCAGGGAAGGACAGTAGCTGAAGACAAAAACCTGTTTTCCATTTTGATACAGGGGATTATATATATAAAACAGTGTGTGAGTTTCCATTACGTACTACTCAAACAGTAATGTATTTTAAATGAATTGCAGGATGGCATACGACACTGAGGAATGTATGCCAGGTATCAGATATATGCCATCCCCATTTGCTGGAAGCATCATAAGGAAGGAGGTGGTTATTGATATTACGTACATTTGCGGTGGACCTGTCCACTAGCCTTGACATTTTAGAACAAAATGAATGGGCTTATTGAGATATGATACCTGGATTCAAGCTGTTCTGGGAACCATTAGTATTTCCACCATGTGATACAAAGGATATATAAGCGGACTGCCATAAACTTCTTTCAGATACAATCAGTGCTGCTAGGAGAAAGTTTTGCAAAACATTGGAGACAACTGTTTGTTCAATCAATAGACAGATTCAAAAGCAAACGCCATGGATACACTTGCATGTCAAAACTGATGGATTACATCTGAGTGACAGAAGTAAGGCAAGGCTGTAGCAATACCTCTCAGAACCAGATGTCTTGTCACTGACCACATAGGGCTCATAGGTCCACGAATGTGACTAGGAGCTTAGTAATGGCTGTGGCTCAGCGAGAGTATATATGCTTGGTTGGTGTGCAGGATGTCCCATGATCTCTTCAGTACATATGTATCCTTTGGTCCAAGGAGGACAAATGACCAGTAGTTTAATCATTTATTGATAAAGCGCACACTTAATGTAGCTCCTAAGGGGCACGGAACCCTGACACACAGTTTTGGCAAAGAAATAGCTGGCATCCCCGCCCCAGACTTGTGCCCCAAACTAGGCTGTTGGTGCAATGGTGTGACCATGCCCCCCTTCAGACTTAAGTACCCCTTGCCTGATAGTGCATGCACAAGAAACTTGCGACCTACACAAGATGCCTCCCTCTTCAAGCCCTCCTGGTCCTTGGAGACTGTGGGGAAGGGGGCAGCAAGAGTCTCCTCCTCCACTTCTGACACCTCCTACCTCATCTCCAACTGCTCGGACTCTCCCTCTTCCTCCAGCCCTAGCTCATGCCCCTTGGGTATCACAAAAGCCCATATATCACCCTTCCCCTCCCCTAGGTCAGCCTCTGGCCCTCTTGCCTCTGCAAGAAGTTCCTGGCAGTATAGGTGAATGTGTCAGTTTTAATTTCTCTCAGTTTCTCATTCTTTCCAAGCTCAGTTCTTCACATTTTTCACATCAGTCCTCATGAAAATTCATAACCCATTTTAGTGTGAATCTCTCCAAAATGCACATATTTGTCTGCAATTTTGCCTAATGCACATTTTGCAAAACAACTTCCCTTTATATACTACATTTTCCCCATGTTGTTTTCACTAATAGATGCGTGCGCGCGCACACACACCCGGGTGGTCCACTGTGGTCTTTCTCTCAAGGTTTCATGGTCTTTTATGGCAGCCCTCAGCAACATTTGATGTTTTCCCCACAGCCCTTGCACTGCCTTCCCAAAGGCAGGTAAGCAAGGCAGTGGGCTTTGAGAAGGAGGCACAAGGGCTCTGATGGGGTCCTAGAGTCCTCCCACCTCCTTCCCAAAGCCAGCACCTTGCTTACTCAGCTTTGGGAAGGTAGAATGAGGGCTGACAGGGGGTCAAATGTTGGCCTTGTACCCCCCCCCCATGTGCACAACAAGGCAGCGTACAGCCCACAGGTTTCATGTCAAAGTACCCTTGTGGCCCACTTGATATGAAAAGTTGGGACACACACAAAGAGCTATAATATGCCCACTTTGCATATACCTCTTTATACACATCGCATGGCTGGAGAACTACATTGCAAAATTTGCAGAAGTGAGAATTTTGAGGGACAACTGTGTTTCGGTTTGTGTGCGGCTTTGGGAAATGAGAATTCTTTAAGTTTAAGTAAAATGTGATCTGAATCAAATATCTTCCCCATCCGTTTCAAGGCACAGCGGGACCCCACCCAGTTTGGGAATCCCTGAGCCAAATGCAACCATAGCTGAGTGGAAGGATCCATGCAGAGCTTCGATCTGTGGCATGTCCAGTTCAAAGGATCAGGCAGCAGATGGTAAGAAAGACCTCTGAGCCTGCAGAGCTGCTTCTAGCCAAGATTGATGATACCGGACTGGATGAATGAATACTCACCTGGAATATACAGAGAGCAGTTTTGACTTGAATTGACTTGTAGGTAGGTAGGTAGGAAGGAAGGAAGGAAGGAAGGAAGGAAGGAAGGAAGGAAGGAAGGAAGGAAGCAAGGAAGGAAGGAAGGAATAGCAGATCTTTCCCATATGATCCGATGGGAAAAACAAGACTTGGGGATACTGATCTCGATCACCAATGAAATGTGTAGATAGGTGGAGCGCTGTGCTGGCAGTGATGCACTGTATCTATCTAAATCTCAGCCTTGCTTGTCTCTCAGTACAGCCAGATCATCTGCACTACCCGCTCAAGTTCTGCTGCATTTGATTGCAAACAGCAAGCTATAATACAGGCCCAGCCGCTGGCACCACCTCAACACAGAGGGGAAAGAGTCTAGGAGTAGTTCCTGATCTCTGCTAGTTCCAAGAGGATCAGTGCTTCAAGGATGCATACTGGATGCTCTCCTCTGATTCAGAGTCTGTTTCAGAGTCTACATAGGTGGGGCGAGGCCGTGGGCCCAGATTCACCAAGGATGAGTAATGCAGTTCCTCTTCACTCTTGTTCACCACATTCTCGTAGTCAGGTTTGGTGTCTCCCTAAAGCAGAAGGAGATACAAGTTGAGGGGAAGGAGTGTAGCTTAGTGGTGGAGCAGAGGGTTTACTCTAAAGGCAAAAGGGTCTCAGATACAACCCCTGGCATCACGCAGGGCTGAGAAAGAACCCTGGCCTCAAATTCCAGAGAGCTGCTGCCAGTAGACCATGGGTAGGCAAAGTGGTACCCTCCAGATGCAATTAAACCCCAATTCCCATCAGCCCAAGCATGCAGGACCATTGGTCAGGGATGATGGGAGCTGTAGTCCAACAACATCCAGAAGGCACTCAGTTGGGGAAGACTTCTCTACTGTGTTAGAGAGACCCAGGGTTACACTGAAATGAAAGTCCAAAGAAGGTCAGTAAATGCCCATTTTTCAAAATGTAGTATTTGGATTGAGTTGTATAGGGGGGATCTAAAATGTTGCAATTTGCCTGTTTTGATTGGATAACTGACTGACTGACTGAATGACTGACTGATGAATGCATTATATAAACTGGAGTACATTTCATTGCATGTCATCTACCAACCTTAATACATCAATTGTTGGCTAGTATATTGCAGAAGCAAAACTGGTGGTGGCTGCATAACAACTGTCCTGTGAGATGCTGTCAAATAGTGACCTCTATTGCACAGCTGAGGAACCTGTAGTCCTTCCGATTCTGTTGGACTACAGCTCCCATCATCCTTGACCATTGGGTGTTCTGGCTGGGGCTGATGGGAGCCAGAGTCCAACAACCTCTGCATCCTTGCTCTAATACTTATAGAATATCATAAATGGTCAAATATTAGCTGCTGATAGATTATAGCTGTTAAAATCATGCCTAATATCAAACACTGTCCGCTGCTGCAGGTTTGCATTGTCAGGTATTATCTTCTGCATGCCAGGTGCTGTCAGAATCCCGACAGCTGCAGAGAATGTCCATTATCAAAACCTGTGGAGAAGAAATGCTGACAACAAGGGTGGCGTTTGTTTGATCTTCGCAGCGCACACATAGCAAGCTGCCTTCTACTGAGTCAGATCGTTGGTCCATTTACTGTACTTCAGTGTTGTTTGGAAATACTGTCTTCCCAGGGTTTCAGACTAAGAATCCTCCCCAGCCCTCCCTGGCCCTTCATCAAAGCTCAGTAGCGTAGAATCTGCCTTGCATGGCAGGTTCAATTCCCAGCATCCCCTGGGCTGGAAGAGACTCCTGTCTGAAATCCTGGGGAGCTTCTACCAATCAGAATAGACCAGAGGTAGGCAACCTAAGGCCCGTGGGCTGGATGCAGCCCATTCACCTTCTCAATCCGGCCCACGGACGGTCCGGGAATCAGCATGTTTTTACATGAATAGAATGTGTGCTTTTATTTAAAATGCATCTCTGGGTTATTTGTGGGGCCTGCCTGGTGTTTTTTACATGAGTAGAGTGCGCTTTTATTTAAAATGCATCTCTGGGTTATTTGTGGGGCACAGGAATCCATTCATATATATTTTTCAAAATATAGTCCGGCCTACCACATGGTCTGAGGGACAGTGGACCGGCCCACGGCTGGAAAAAGGTTGCTGCCCTGGAATAGACAATACAGAGCTAAAAAGGCCAATGGTTTGGCTAGGTTTTAAGGCAGCTTCCACCCAAAGCCTTGGAATATTTAGTAGAAACCACCTACACATTTTTCAGGGTGCTCGCTGCAGACTTAAGGACTAACAGCTTGGTTTTTTCGTGTGTTTTTTAAGGACCACAGTTTTTCATGATACTACATCTGCACTCCCACCCAGCCAAGCTACAACAGGTATCCCTATGCAGTTGATAAAACTTTCACATTTTGGATTTAGTGGTTAAGCTTCCTGGATGCAGCAGAGCATCCTTCCCCACCTCAGTGCCTTCCAGACATCATTGGACTGTAACTCCCACCAGCCCCAGCCAGAATGGCCAACATTCAGGGGTGGTGAGATTTGTACATAGCTGTCAAGCGTCCCTTATTTGGCAGGACAGTCCCTTATCCCAGCACCATGTCCCGCTGCTGTCCCTTATTGATGATGTCCCTTAAATAAGCTACTGAAGGTAATGGGGCCCTTTCTATGTCCAGCTGTGCTTTATCAACAACAAATTGTTGCTGTTTTTTTGTGTTGAATATATGCTATATGGTAATTTATGGACCTAACAGGTATCTAAAGCCATTTGCATGCAACAAAATACGTATTTTATCAAAGTAATTGTTGATCCCTTATTTTGGCTGCTGATCCCTTATTTTCGAGGCTGCTGGTCCCTTATTTTCAAATCTGTAAGTTGACAGCTATGGATTTGTAGCTTCATTAGAAGTGCCAATTAATACAGATCTAGGTTTGTGTCCCCGTCCCCCCCATCTTTAGGGCAGGTCTTCCGCATGCCCCAAAACTTTTATTAAACAGTTGCTTGATCAGACTTCAAGATATTTCTCTCTTCTCTCTCCCATCTCACCACTATGGCAAGGAAAGCCTCCTTTACCTATTGAATTTCTGCTTCTCATGCAGATAGCAGAAGGCACTGGCATACTGTAATGATTAAACAAAGTAGAACAGCTAGGAGGAGATGCTGTTGACAGTGCATATCCCTGGGGCCGTGTTACGCTCTGCAGAGATTCTATCTGGGCCTTACAAAGGAAACACATGCTCGTCTTTTTTAGAAAAATGGTTTTCACTTCAAGGGTGACGATTTCTTGTAAATTGCCAACAAGGGGGTGGGACAGCATAAGAAACCGGAAGCTGATTCAGGACAGCATGGCCCTGTGCATAAGTGAGCCTGATGATATGAGTTTCAAAGCAAATTAAAATAAAAAAATAAATGGTACCCGCTCAGCTCAGTTTTCACTTGTCCTAAAACAAATGCCATGAGCAATAAATGACTATGAAGGCAGTTCATTATCTATCCAGAAGTGGATTACCTGGGAAGGTTAGGGATGGTTTACCTTTCTCTGGTGGTTGTGACATTAGCCGAGCTAATTAAAGTATCTGGCATTTTATTTTGCCAGATTCGGGTGCTCTTTATTTTTAAAGGTCCTTTTTTTTTAAAAAAAAAACACCTTCTCGAGTTGCTTTGCAAAAACATAGGGTGGGATTAAACCTGACTTTTTCATGACTCCAAAGGAGGGTACTACTAAGGCAACTTCCCTAATCTGATGTTCTCCAGCTGCTTTGGACTACAACTCCCATCATTCCTAGTCAGCATGACCAAACATCAGGCATGATGGGAGTTGTAGTCCAAAACAGGTGGAGGGTACCATGTTGGGGGAAATTGCATCAGGGCTTCTCCTGCTCTGTTCTTCTCACCACACACCTATTCTACAGCTGACCACAAAGTTGAGAAAAATATTCTAGTGACAGCTTGAATTCCCTGTACTAAACTGAAAGCTGCAGTTCTCTCTCTCTCTCTCTCTCTCTCTCTCTCTCTCTCTCTCTCTCTCTCTCATATATATATTTTGCATTTAATTTTCTGTTTCACCAATTTAAAATTCTCATTTTACACCCTTGAGATATCCATGACTTCCATTCTTCTCTTTCCATGGTTCATTTTACGTATAATAAATCCCTGCACATTTTACAAAAACTATACCAATCGGTGTTTCCGTTATTGCATCCATCAAAACTTATTTGCACTATTGAATTTATCTTAGTGCTGACAGCGTACACAGTTATTTCCCATATATTCAATAAATGTTTATTGAAAGCTGCAACTCTCTGTGATGCTTTAAAAGAGGCAGACATATTGCTCTTAAACCTGTTTCTCTACAGTGTGAGTCAAACTGCCATTTGCAGTCTGAATGACAACCAAATTTAGTACAATACCTGAAACATTGGTCATGCTTGTGTTGGGACCAGCAAGGTGAAGCTCCTACCTCCACCTTGCATGGACCAAACCTCACAGCGTTTGGAGTTATGTGGGACCCCTTGGGAGGACACCCTCCATGGTCCTCTTTCCCTCGGTGAGTCTACCTCCTTACCGCAGCAACTCCAGGGTTCTCTGGTCAGTGGAGAACCTGCTAGGATGTGGGCCCCTGGCATACTTCCAACCATATGTCCAGACATGCCAACCATAGGAGATCATGGGCTACAATACTGGGGAAGCCAGGCCATTCACATCAGGGATTCTGTCTTACAATGAAGATGTACCTTTGTGGGGAGCTGGGGTTTCTTTACCACACTGTAGATCACGGCATCATCCAAAGGTTGCGGTGCTTTGACACTGTAAAGAATTGAAGATTCCAGTTAGAAAAGCATTCGGAGTATGGAAGAGGAATTTAGTGCTTAGGCTGTCTGAATGCAATATATCAGCCTTTGTCAACTTTGTGCCCTCCATTAGACCACAACTCCCATCATCCCCAGCCAGCATGGTCAATGGTGAAGGATGTTTGGAGTTGTAATCTACATCCAGAATGCACCATGTTGCATTTTGTTGATTTTCAGTGGGTGGGTCCCTTACTGACTTTATACACTTTCCCATTCACAGGAGATAAGCAACCGAAGTACCAGATGCAAAGAAGAACCGGGGTTGCTGAGTCTTTAATCATCATGCAAACAATGTGGTTTCAGGATGGGGACATTTTCCCCACCCACCACATGAGAGGCTGTACCAACTGAAATCCCCTCTTCTACACCAGTGATAAACTCACAGGAGCTCTGGTGACCTCCTTTGTATCTGGTCCATCATAGGGAAGGAAGGAGAGAGAAAATATGGGCATTGGCAGTGTATAAAGGTAAAGGGACCCCTGACCGTTAGGTCCAGTCGTGGCCGACTCTGGGGTTGTGGCGCTCATCTCGCTTTATTGGCCGAGGGAGCCGGCGTACAGCTTCCAGGTCATGTGGCCAGCATGACTGAGCCACTTCTGGTAAATCAGAGCAGCACACGGAAATGCCGTTTACCTTCCCGCCTGAGCAGTACCTATTTATCTACTTGCACTTTGATGTGCTTTTGAACTGCTAGGTTGGCAGGAGCAGGGACCAAGCAACGGGAGCTCACCCCATCGTCACGGGGATTCAAACTGCCAACGTTCTGGTCGGCAAATCATAGGCTCTGTGGTTTAACCCACAGCGCCACCCGTGTCCCTTGCAGACAGTGTATAGGAAGGGCCTATTCAGTGGTGGCTCCTTGCATGTGGAAGCCCCTTCCTACTGCAGTTCATCTGAACCCATCACTTGTCTGACTCCCCCTTCTTCCAAAAAAGGCAACGTATCTACCACAGCTTCCCGCAACCCTCTAGTCTGCTCCCCATCATACCTGGCATAAACAGTGCGTTCCTCGGACAAACTTGGAGGGAACCTGAGCGCCGCATAAGAAATTGAAGTTTCTGCACCCTGGTTCAGGAATCCAATGGAGCCATCTGCTCCATTTTCTCTCAGCCTGTTGTTACCATTACACAGTTTTTCTCCCTTGGCCTAAGAAACAAAGCAGTGTTTACTCTCTTGCCTAGGACACCTTCATTTTCTCTGCAGGGGCATATATTCCACCTGCCCACCCACCCCTCCATGCAAAGGATGAGAGGCTCCTGTGCCTTTTGAGATGTATTTCACAGGGTGTCCCATGTGTCACTCAGGGCTGAGAAAAGCCACCACTCCTGAAATTCAGAGCTACCCTGCCTCTGACTGTAAAGGTGGAACATAGTCATTGTGGCTAGTACTGACTGATATCTCCCATGAACTTATCTAATTCTTTTTCAAAGCAAGGGGACGGAAAACCAATTCCCACTGCACCACAGTCCCAAGCGCAAGGCTGGAGGGATGACTTCCAGAGGTTGCCACTTGCCACAAGGGAGAAGAAGCAACCACAGTCATCATACTTGGGACTGTGGTGCAGCTTCATCTAATTTGTCCTGTTAATTCATGCTGATCGTCACGACTGCCAGCAACATCTAGAGGTCATTGGCTGGTCACAGAAGCAGCCATGTCACTTGTTATTTGCAAACAGATTCAACACCCTCACCCTCCAACAATGTAATGATGCCAGTGGAAAATAAGACTTAACCTTCTTCACAAAAAATGAGCCTGATCTCCGTGCCCTTCCAGTGCCGGGGTCTAATGTTTTCTTCCTGCAATGGTAGAAAAGATACAGTTCTGTCCCATTGGGGCAGTTCGCCAGAAGACTACCAGCACTTCCAAATCCCTTCACCAAACAGAAGGTGTGTCTGATTTATAGAAAGTTGATAGGCATTATTTAAACTGTCAGATCATTGGTCAATCTCTTCTGCTACATATTTTGGAAACTAGACTAGCTGTCTGCTCTCTACAGGTTTTCCCAGCTATCAAGCTATCATTGCTAAATTCAGCATGAGAATTCTCATGGTGGGGTAGTGGTTTTTGTCATTGTTGGGATGCCAAATGCCCTTCTGAATCAAGATGGCAGACTGAAGCTGGACATGGGTATGACTTTGATCATTTTTTGCCCTAGGTTTGGCCACCTGTTGTTGTTGTTTGGATTTGATATCCCGCTTTATCACTACCCGAAGGAGTCTCAAAGCGGCTAACATTCTCCTTTCCCTTCCTTCCCCACAACAAACACCCTGTGGGGTGGGGCTGAGAGACTTCAAATAAGTGTGATGAGCCCAAGGTCACCCAGCAGCTGCATGTGGAGGAGCGGAGATGCGAACCCGTTCCCCAAATTACAAGTCTATCACTTTTAACCACTACACCACACTGGCTCTCAATTCGATTATAAAATCCATACATAATTAAATGCACAATAATACAATGCCAACAGAACAGGGAAGCCTACCTCCTTCAGAAACACCACCAGTTAATGACCTGCCTGGGTCAAAGAGGCTCTCCCCACAACCACTTACCATCTCTGCACCACGTGCAACAGCAATCCCAGGAGGAAAACCGCAAATAGGACACTGCCCAGGCCAATCAGGGCACGCTTCAACACAGTAGCTCTGCTGTCTACATGACACAGAAAAGGAGAAAACGCAGAATTTGCAACACCTGGCTGTAACGGCAAAGCGATTGTTGCCTGATCCCATGCAGGCTTTTGTTCAGTTGCACACTGAAGTCCACCAGGTTCCTCTCCTTGGCATCCATCTGCCTTGCAAGCGGTGAGAAGGGCCTGAGCTCAGCTGCAGAACATTGGCTTTGCATGCAGAAGGTTCCAGGCAGGGCTGTGTATACCCACTTTCTGAACCCCACCACCACCATCTAGTGCTCTGAGTGGCTGGGTTCGCTGCCATGTTTATTTCCCACAATAACTCTGACACTACAGCAAATCTGTATAGATTACAGATGGGGAACCTCTGGTCCTGGGCTCAAATACAGCCCTCCAGAACTATTTGTCTAGCTCTCAAGACTCTCCTTTGCCCATGCTCCTTGGTCAGGTTGCAATACTCTCCCAAAGTCACAAGCTGTTGGAAATGCATTGGCCATTATATCCACGGATTGTCCTACAATAATTATCAACATACAATTCTTGATAAAGGATCGTCATGCAGCTACTAAAACATTTTGCAAGGTAGAATTCTTGACCTGCCATTAATAACTACAGTCCCCGGATTTACAAATCAGTCCGCATACAAAATCCTATAATTCCTATTGAAGTTGAAAAGTGTCCCCGGATTCATTGGAAAAAATCTGGTAACCTTAAACTACTTACAGGACACAGTGATGCCCATGGGCGGTGACTCCTGCTCAGAGATGCTATTGGAAGTTTTGCAGTGATAGGATCCTGACTGGTCAACCTGGATTTTCTTAAGCTGAAGTATCTTGGAAGTTTCCTGGAGCCTCTGTTTGTTCCAGTACCACGTGTAAACATCAGCTGGTGGGGAGGCATCATTATCACATTTCAATGAGACACTCATTCCCTCAATGATAGCATCCTGGGTGCTCAGGAGTAAATGGACATTGCGAGGCCCATCTGCCAAGAAGAAAGGCAGGGAAGATACATTCAGCACAGTCCAGTATTTGTCTTAAGGCTCTCAATATGACTCAAGGGTTGCTGGTGCCCTTTGGGGCTTGTAGAGCAGAAGACAGAGAGAGACCAACAGTAGGTGAAGCCAGAGCTATTGAGAGGCAGATCCAACTTTTTACCTTGAATTTTGTCCCCATCCTTTTTCCCTGCTGTGTTCTAGAAAGGAAACAATGAAACGAAGGAGGGTGGAATGGACAGCTCTGGTTCTAATTAAAAGGCAAGGGTTGAAGAAAAGATCTTGGAAGCTTGTCCTCAGCTAGAAGCGATGCTTGGAGGACAGGCAGGGTGAGGTGCCATTTGGCGGGGATGGGGATGCTGCCTCAGATAGCAAAAGCTGCTTAAGCACCCCACCTTCCCCACTGCCCCCATTTACAGGGGTGAAGTGGAGCTGGTATTGACCCCAATTTCAGGTGAAATCTCACTGAAATTGCACAAGATCTTGTGAAGTGCACAATATCTTGCATGGTTCAGGCTAGATCTCACCTGAAATCAGAGAGATCTCACCTGAAATCAACACTTCTCCACCCGTGAAGGAAATGGCAGGGAGGGTGGTGGAGGCAGCGGTGCCAACGGCAGGGCAGAGTGGCACTTCCCATTTTGCCTCAACCAGCGAGAATGGATGGGCCAGCCCTGAGGACAGAGTAAGGGAATAAGATACTCGGGTTGTATCTTCAGGAGTCTCTCCTTTCCATACTCACAATGGACACTCAGCCAAACTGGTGAGGACTGTGCTGAGCCTACTTGGTTGCTTGCTGCACAATAGTAGCTGCCAGAATGCTCAGGGGTCACTTTTGGATGGTCACCGTAGAGTCCAGCTGCAGCTGTTGCCCTTCTTTGTACCATATGTAGGTGAGCTCCTGGGGGTTGGCATCTCTCACTTCGCATCTCAGCTTAACAAAGCTGCCTTCTTTGATCAGCCCCAGGGGTTCTCGCACAGCTTTCACATCCTTGGGACCAACTGCAGGAGGACAGACCAAAGGCAATGTATGAAGTGCCCCACCTGCCCTCGCACCTGAACACACATGCAAAACCCGCCACACACACAACAACCGCTGAATACAGATTCCTCTGCAGTAAATCTGAGTGATCAACCTCAATTTTCAGCTTGAAAAGCACATGCCTGCTGCACTCAACAGCCCTGCTTTGGGCAGTTGCCTTTTTTAAATGTTGCCAACAGTGGGTGCTCACCCCTTGAGGAGCATCAGAAAAAAACATTTCTCCAAAATCTTTCTGCCATAGCGGGTCTGCCTGTGTAAGTTGCAACTGAATGGCTCACAATTTCTATAGGCAAGCATCCTGGCCTCTGTCATGTATAAGGCTGCTAACAAGTTGGGATCTAAGGTGTAAGATCAGTCTACGCTAAGAGGCTCTATATACCAAAGAGTACATCCTTCTCGTGATTTGGCTAAGTTATTTAAGTTGAACCTGCAATTCTCCAAACAGGTAGTGGAGCCACGTAGCCAGTGTGGATCAAGTTTGCGAAATGACTGCACCTGCCTTCCCATAACCTCTCCCTCTGCTTGACTAGTACATGTGTTCCAGGTCTTCCAGTAGCATTACTTACAGAGTGTTGTCACAGAGACGGGTGCAGATGCTGTACAGCTGATCACATTGCAAACTTGACATTTGTAAATGCTGACCTTTTCAGGTGATGCAGTAAAGGTGTACAGTTCCTGATTACGGCTTATATATTTTCCTGACTTGTACCAGTTATACCATTTGTGACTGGGGTTACTGCTGCCCACAGAGCAGTTCAGTAGGGACAGTGTCTCCTTCTGTTATGGGCTGACGGCTATTAAGGGTAAGCTGGACATTCTTGGGAGCATCTAGAAAATCAAATCAATGCTTTTTTTATTCCTGAGAAACATCATCCATGATGTGCATAGTTGAGAGATGTGCACAATAATCAGTCACACACAAAATAGCAAAGAATGAGCATAAATTCCTATAAATACAAATGTTGCACATTGACCAGTTAATATTGATAATCTCCAAGTTGTTTATGTGCACAGGTTGCTGGTCATTTTCCAGAAGTATTTTTCTACATTTATACCCACTTTCCAAAAGTTAAGAGTTATATTCACAATAACATGGGAAAGGTTGCAGCTTAAAGATTGTAGTTCAATATCTGATGTCTCCCACAATCTACTGGGAAGAGTTACTGTGCCCACTAGGCCTGGAATCCTGAGCTGTTTGCTTCTTTGAATAAAGAGTTAACTTCACTGACATCATGTGAGTTATTACTGACCAGCTCCTGGCACCTGCCCTGACAGAATCGCTACCCAATTTCCCAGTCCCATTAGCATGATCAGCATCATTCAAATATCACCAGCAGAAGCATGGGAGCAGTCAACACACATGGGCTGCTAGTCTGCCGCACTGTGGATGCCCCCAAGTAGAAATTATGTAGGAGCAGGTGAGCAAGAAATTGCTTATACTGAAAATGCAGTGGTGGGCCTTGCACATTCAGATTTACAGCCTTTAAAAGGAAGGGCCATAGCTCAGTGGTAGGGCATCTGTCTTGCGTGTGGAAGGTACCAGGTTTAATCCCCAGTATCTCCACACAGGGTTAGGAGAGTCTCCTGCATGGAACTTTGCAGAGCCATGGCCAGTTTAGACAACATAGAACTAGATGGCACCAGTGGTCTGACTCTGTATAAGGCAGCCACCTCTGTTCTTAACTGGAGGATTCAATGGCCTTAATTCACTCTGCACTAGGCAGTAAAGGAGGATCATGAACATGGAGAACATCAATAGAGGAAAGTTGGTGGTGCCCAACTCTCTCCATAAGCTCTGACCAGAGAGTAAAGGATTCACCCTCCACCTCCGCCAGCATGGTATTCAAGGGCTGTGCACAAGCAGGATTGGGGCAAGATTCACTCAAGGTGTCTGGTGCTACTATCCCAATTCAGCTTGCAGAAATCAAGCAGAGCTGCTCGTTTATACAAACAGCCTTGCTTGACCTCTCATTGCATCCCAAGGTAAGAGCTTCAGGATAGCCCATAGGAATCAGGCCAAAGGCCCATCTCACAGTGGTCAATAACCAAGATGCTTATGGGAAGTCCTTAAGCAGGACATGAACACAAGAACACTGTCCCCACTTGGGATTTCCAACACATAGCCTCTGATGGTGGAGGTACAACAAAGCTGTCATGTCCAGCTGCCATTGCTAACTTTCTCCAGCAAATACACCCAACAGTCTTTTAAATTTGTATATGATGTGCCACATACTTTGCATGCAACTGATCAATATTCCTGGTACCTCCAGGGTTTTTATAAGGATCAGGTGGCAGCTGATGCAGAGCACAGCTATGACCCTGCCAGTCAAAGTCCAAGCTACAGACCCTTCACTTCCTGAAACTGAGGTTACTTACACTGAACGTCCAGGGTGATGGATGAAGATGTTGAATTTCCAATGGTGTTCCAGGCTATGCAGTAATAGGTACTGGAATCTCTGGCCTGGATCGCCTCAAAATGCAGCTCCTTGTCAGTTCCAATTATGTCAGACTCCCCATCTTTATACCAACCATGGTGGTTGGTGGCAGGATTCCCTCGGGAAGAGCACCGCAAAACCACGTTGTCCCCTTCTTTGATTCTCCCTGGTGACACGTCAATCTTCACATCCTTTGGTGGATCTGGGGTAGAGAAATTATGGACACTTAAATCAGGACTCTTGTTTCAGGGCAAGAAAATGTGTGTGCTTCCTTGGGGGACAAGAGAACTGTGAGAGAGTAACGTGTGTATTCAGGGACTGGTGAAGGTAGCAAAACTGGCCCCACCATATGGAAGGGTGAGTCAGCCCACTCCAGGAGGGACATTTTGAGATACTGTTAGAAGACAGATCATTACTATGCTGATGGTGACTGCTGTTGGCATCCACCTGTCTTGAGAGACAACAGAGCGTGCTTCCGTGGGTTTAGTCAAATCGCTGTGTTAGCAGCATCAAAGTGACCTCCATATGGCACGAGCCTGGGCAGTGGGTATGGAGGTCCTGAGTTGCCCTGAAGAGAAGACCCCCTTCTCCAACTTGCTTGTGTGGCCCACAAGAAAGCAGAGCAACATGTTTGGCACCAGCTTGGCTGCAGGAGTTGCTGGAAGGAGGCATACATGGCACCATCTAACCATCATAGAGACTCCACTCTGGATCAGAGTTTTCCTTCTCCTAGATGGGCTACCTTCCCAGGGTTGATGAGCCCATCTGCCCCTCACTCCCCTCTACAGCAAGTGAAGAAACTGTCTGCTTGACCATTGGACCCACTTTGGTCTCATCTGTTCAGTCTGCCAGAGCCTGTCTCCACACACAGGGGAAGTCAGAGTAAGACTTCACTTTTATCATCACCATTGACTGCCACCTCTGCTACCACCGTGTCAACAGAATCACTACTGCCACCTCTATCATCATCATCATCATCAGTTAATTCATCAGTTAATTAACTGATGGTGATTATGATGTTTACTGCTGTGGTATTAATTTGGCCAACCATTATTTATGTACAGTATATATTTTCATCCCACCTTTCCTCCCAGGAGCTCAAGCTGCTGAGTGTGGTTCTCCACCTCCCCATTTCATCCTCACATCAATCCTGTGAAGTAAGCTAGGCTGAGAAATGGTGACTGGGGTCCAGGAACTCCCAGTGAACTGCATGTCTGAGTGGGGATTATAATCCTGCTGCTGAAGATCCTGGTCCAGCATGCCACATTAATCAGGGTGAGCCAACGCAACCCCAGGAGGGAGATTTTGGGATAGCATTAAATAATTTTATCATCATATCTGTTATTTCTCATTTGGGGGTGTGGGAAAGTCCACAGAAAGGTGTTCGGATACTGCAGTTCGGCACCTATGGGGTTAAATGAGGCCATGTCTATGCTTCCTCCAGACCCAGCCAGCCACCAGCCAGCCCTGGATGCAACCCTGCCCATCTTTGAAGAAGAGAAGAGTTTGGATTTGATATCCCGCTTTATCACTACCTGAAGGAGTCTCAAAGCGGCTCACATTCTCCTTTCCCTTCCTCCCCCACAACAAACACTCTGTGAGGTGAGTGAGGCTGAAGGTGATCGGACTTAAGATTGTATTCTAAAGGTACATTTTATGCAAGACCAATGGTGCAGGTTTACAAACTATATTGGTGTGTGTGTAGAATTGGCTTTAAACAAGCTTTTTCCTGTTTCCTGTCCTGATAGTCACACAGTGCATGAAAATCAGAAGGAGAAAGTAGTTCTCTTTTGAAATACAAAAAGACCCCCAGAAGAGGAAAGAAGAGGCAAGCAATGTCTGTAAATCCTGATGGTCATCATTCACCAGCCCAACAAAGAAACTCACACTGGACATTGATGGTCAGTTCTGAGCTACCGGATCCAACTGTGTTTTCAGCTGTACAGCGATAGACACCAGAATCTTGTTCTCCTACAGATTCAAATTCCTTTATTGGGCTCGTCCATTCATATTTCCGCATATCCTTCCAGTACCATTGGTATGTAACTTCAGGGTTGCTACTGATGACTGTACACGCAAGAGAGAGTTTCTCCCCTTCTCGGACTGTGATTCCAGGCATAGCGCTCAGTTTAACTCTTTTGGGACCATCTGAAATAAATAAAATTATGGAAGTCATACGTACCATCAGAAACTGATAGAAGCTGCAAGGCTGGATGTCCTAGAATACAATCAGGGACCCTTAATTATAACCCCCTCCCATTTTGCAGGGATTCCTATCACATTTTGTACTCAGTAACAGTAATATCCTTCCAAATGCAACAATCACATGCTTCTTGCTACTGTAAACGCTTAAGCCAGAGCCCACCATCCATCACAAGGTTCAGAGTTCAGAAGATGGCTTTTCAGAGGAACAGAATCTTGTGCAGTTCAGACAGAATATTTTTTTCCAGATTTCCCCCACATAGCCCAGTTTCATCCCCCCTGAATACTCACATTTCACATCCAATGTCATGGTGCTCCAGGATATCTCTGCCCCATTGTGGCTTTTCAGAGTGCATGTCAGCGTTTTCCCATGATCCTCCCAAGTTGGAGTAAAACTCAGAACAGTCTGGACTTTTCCATCTCTATTGGTTGTTTTTTGGGAAGACATACGACTCTCCTCCAAGCCGCTGAAAGTCAACATAATTGGCTCATCGGGGCAGTGGTAAAATACCCAGCAGGTCACTGTCACTGGCCTCTGTTCTTGGATTTGTGCTATTCTGCTTTCTATCTTGGGTTTGGGTGGTGACACTGCATGCAGAAAATTAAAAAGGGAAATTCCAAGTCAATGATCAGGCAAAGCTGTAGACCAGAGATGGAGAACTTGTGACTCTCCACATGTCCTTGGACCCCAACTCCCATCAGCCTCAGCCAGCATGGTCAGGGGTGATGGGGGTTCTAATCCTGCCATTTCTGGAAGTTTAAAGGTTCCTCTCCCCTGATCTAAAAGGAAGCTGTTGAGCAGATAAGAGCCTTGATCATCTATCTAAAAATTGCAAGAAGCATCCAGGCCTACCTTTTACCCCTTCCGTGATGCAGCATGTTAGCATAGTTATACCTGCCTCTGAGTTGATATTTGACAAATGGACATTTGCAGAAATGATTTTATTCTTTTTTTGTAGAACTTGCAGAGGTGGTTTTCTTGATTTGAAGTTCATATGAATTATTTTATTGTCTTTAAAACTGAACTTGTGTATATAGCATCCCCATATTTAACTTGCACACCAATTCAGGGCCTTCAGGCTATAAAGTGGATTATAAATTTGTTACGTAATAAAATAAATATTTGATTCTTTTTGCATAACAAAGTGCTGTGGAAAACTCAGCACTAGATACTGGCAAGGCAAATAAGAACACAGTGCATTGTATCTATAGTAGTTAATCTACTTAGGTCCATTATTTTCATTGGGTCTACTCTGAGTGGACTAACGTTTGATGCAACACAATGTAGCTGATGAATGACACATTAGTTTCACACAAAGATATGGCATGGCTGCCTAGCAAATACATTATTAGTATCATTGAACAAACCCTTAGGAGGGGATTCCAGAAATGTTCTTCAGTTACCAGTCTACCCATTACTGTTAGTCTACTCTTGAGATCCCTTCCAGTTCCATAATTCTTTGATTCTTTGACTCCTATAGGATTATAATTACAGCATAAGAAAAGTGAAAGTTTAGGACTCCACCCGAAGACCTATTTAATGAATGTTCATCTTTATAGTGTTATCTTGGGTTACATACGCTTCAGGTTACAGACTCCGCTAACCCAGAAATATTACCTCGGGTTAAGAACTTTGCTTCAGGATGAGAACAGAAATTGTGCCGCAGCGGCACGGCAGCAGCAGGAGGCCCCATTAGCTAAAGTGGTGCTTCAGGTTAAGAACAGTTTCAGGTTAAGAATGGACCTCCGGAACGAATTAAGTTCTTAACCCGAGGTACCGCTGTATTTCCTTGCATTAAACTTACGCAGAGTATATCCTTGTTGACCATTTATTCTGATTTGATCACAGGGCAGTTATGCATCTGTTATTCATATTGATTTCTTTATGAGGTATTTACTCATCTTCCCACATTAGTCATTTGCTCGCCCCACACATTTCAGCGCATGACCCTGTCACTTGCCAAGCTACAGAAAGGCTGATTCTTTTTAAAAGTGAATTCTTGCACTAGGGCAACAGAGCACTTAAAAGAGCATAAATCTACATTTGTGGTATGCACTTGAATCTCTCCCACAGAACAGTGACAGTCTGGAGGTGCCCTTAGCTTCCAGACTACTTGACCACTTTCGCAAGAGTGGAGAACAAAGCATCTCTGAAAGTTTCTTACCGTTAACATTAACAGCAGCAGGAGCAAACCACATGTCTAGATGACGATTGTTTCCAACAAACCCATAAAGTCTTGCTCCATATGTGCCACTGTCATTTTTCTGGAGATGAGAAATCTTCAGGCTGCAGTTTCTGCTGTTTAAATTCCCAACAAACCTCACCCGATCCAGAAAGTGGGGACTTGTTGGAGTCAGGTAGTTCTCTGAGATGGTGGAGCCATTGTATAACATGATACCAGTATAATCTTTCAGATTGTCTTCATACTTAGGGTCAAAATACCAAATCAGGAAGAAGTTGTCAACCCGAACGTTCTTATATGTTAGGCTGATCTTGCATGGAATCAGAATACAGGATCCTTCCCACACAGCCAGATTATTCGGTGCAGTTGTCAACATATTTTCCTTACCCAAGATACCTAAATCAGAGAACAACATGTGATATTTTGCTCAGCTCCCACCATGCATTCAGAAGGATGGTGAAAATGATCTGAAGGCAGTGCTCTCTAATCAAAACTAAACTAAACTTCTGACTACCTCTCCAGACTGGTGGCTTTTTTGCAGGAATATTCTGAAACATGTCAATAGCAATGCAACAGTGGGGGATTTAAACTGGACCATTTACACATCATCAGAAGCACTTTTAGGGTGGCAGGAGTGGTGTGGTCCCACTGAGCACTACCCTGCAGGGGGCATCAAGACACGGTTTCAGAATGGAGCTACGTGGGGGGGGGTTCGTGGAATTTTAGTGTCACAAAGGGCACTGCTGAAATCTGAGAGCCAAACATCCGCCACTGCCTTCTCCTCATTCTTTTCTAAAGACCAAAGAGAGCAGTGGTGCTTAAATGAGACCAGAAGCCCAATTTGCTTTTGTTGGCACAAATCAAACCTGCATCACACATCATGCATTACCTGGAAGGAAGAGCAGACAAAAGAACATCCTCATTGTGAATTCATGCAAGGGCCAAATCTGGAAGCAAGGGGGTGGAAATGGATTATTGATTCATTCAGTAACAGTTATTTACCATCAAAAATATATTCCCAGAGTCATAAGAATGTGTATGGAAATGTGCTTTTATGCACCTTGGTGGAAGGAGGAGAACCTGTCACAAGCTCTATTCCTGTCTATTGAGCTTCTTCTCCCATAGTACTCCTATGGGAAGGGCTGTAGCTCAGAGACAGAGCACATGATTTGCATGCAAAAGTCCCAGATCCAATGCCTGTCATCGCAAGGCATGGAGAGATTCCTACCTCAAGTCCTGGAGATTTGCTGCCAGTCAGTAGGCAATATTGACTTGAATGGACAAATGAGCCCGTGTGGTGTAATGGTTAGAGTGCTGGACTATGACTTGGGAGAACAGGGTTCAAATCCCCACTCTGCTCTGAAACTCACAGGGTGACCTTGGGCCACTCACCATCTCTTCGCCTTACCTACCTCACAGGGTTGTAGTGAGGATGAAAGGGAGGAGGGAACCATGTGCACCACCTTGAGCGCCTTAGAAAAAGAAAGGTGGTATATAAATGTAATAAGTAAACAATAAATAATACCAATGGGCTGACTCTGTGTATGGCACTTTTCAATGTCCCTAACTACCAGGAAGACAGCCGTCTCCAGTAAGCATAAAGGATGGGGGGGGGATACAAATTCAAATCTATTATGTTCACAGGAGCCAGAAAGTTTTGCATGCTGCTGGGAGTTGTCTTTGAATTTTATCCTTGCTTTCATAAACAATAAAAATCACCAAACCAGTACAAAAGAAAATTAATATTTTGTTTCTTTAAGCAGATTATTGGGGGAGGGGTCACCAAAGCAACTCCCCAAACCGCTTTCTGCCAATCAGCTAATGTAGTGACCTTCCTATTTAACAGGAGTCATTCCAGAGATTTCAATACTTGTTGTCCAATCACTATAGAAATTTCTGCAAAGACCACAGTCCAAAACTCTGACACTTTGTCCTCCACCTGTCCTTAAATTACCTCGGCTCCTTATATCCTCTCCAACAGGATCTCTAATTAGACACCTTCGTTTGAAACAGTCTCATAGCAGTCTTATACCATTTTTGCATTATTTTCAATGCATGTTCTCTCATGGTAAATAAAATGGATGTCAATGGGAACCTTAACCACATAGAAGTCCACCCATTGTCTTCAATCAAAATATTCCAGTCTGACTCCCACATCCATTTCTGGCCTTCTGCAGAGCCCATATCAATGCTCAGAAGTAGGATATAAATGGGAGACACCAACCTCTCCTCTTCCCCCTCAGAGCTCAGAAATACTAGCTTGATCTGCATGAGAGCAAGGAAACTTCTTAAGAACATTTCCAAAACAATGCAGCTATATTGCATACAGAACTTACGATTCTAAATAAGGAGAAACCGAAATGGACCAATTTCACCAGCCATAGTGAACATGCACTGAATTTGCCTTGCAAAATTGAAAGCCCCTTTTCAAACTCCTGCCTGTTTCGATCTGGCCACTGACAGCTACTGCTTCTCCGGCATGCTGAGATGCTGCAGGAAGTACAGAGAAGCTTGGATCAGAAGACTTAGACATGGCAGGCCCTGTGACATCCCCCCTATGAGTGCAGGGCAGGGCAGGGGCCTCAGGCTGCCCCATCAGCTGTCCATCTTGTTTTACTTTGCCATCAGCCCCATCCTGTCTCTGTCTCCTCTTTTTCGCAGAGGAAGACTCAGCAGACTGAGCTGCTCTACTAGAGTTCATCCTCCCCTTGTAATAAATAGACTTTGCAACCTGTATGCCTGCCCACCCCAGTTGTAGCATCCCTTACAGAGTCAGGCCATCAATAGGATGTGCAGCTATACCCTCCGACATTCCTCAGATGAAAACAGGGACATTCTATTTCACATCAGTTTCTTTGCCTGAGCATTTCCTCCTGATCAAGTACAAAAGTTATTAGAGGAAGCAAACAAAACTGAAGTATTTTAAGCACAGAAAACTTTGAATTTATGTATTGCATTTGGGAAAGCCGGGGGGGGGGAACAAAACCCAAATCAATAAATACAACTAACTGTGTGTGCATATACACACAAAACATGAACAATAAATGCAACATTGTAAAAATAAATCTTCTTCTTTGGCGATCACTCGTAGCTGAGTAAGATTGTCTTCCATAGATACAGTTTTAACAATGAGTTGGTAAGTGACTGTGGAGGCCAATTCCGGACCCACATGTCCTTCCACAGTGCAGACATTGGTTTCTTAGGCCGGAGTTGATCACAGACAGACAGACAGACAGACACATGGGTGAAAAGAGTTCTGAACCGAATTCAAAGGCTGCTTTTGGTTAGACCTCCCTAGGGTTGGGAGCGAAGTTTGGTTCAGTCTATATTTTAATGTTCAACTACCTACTTCTCATTTCCTGGAATAAAGTGTTGACCAAAACTCAGCTATCCTTTGGCCGTTCTCCAAATGCACAAGTCTTCCATCAAAACGCCCATTTAAAATGCACATGGAGGGGGAAGTATGCATTAAAATGCATATATTGGTAGGAATGACCACATTAAAAATGCTTTCTGTTAGGTAAATTTGCTTGGAAAAATGTTTCTATGAGGCAAAATGGCATACAAAGGTGTACAATTTTTTAAAAAGATACTTTAAAGGAAAAAAGCAAACGAATGTGGAAATGTGGCAAACCAAAAATTAAGATAGGATACATGAGAAATGGAGCGAAGCCAACTTCAACAAATCCGACTACCGCATGACCTCCTATCAATCTTTCTAACACTTGGGCCAAAGAACAGTTTGTATTACCTGTGTAGCTGTATCTTTAAGTGAAGGGAATGGAAGGGTTTCCCCACCCCCACCCCACCCTGCTACACATTTTGACAGCATGATACTGGATCCAGATCGGAATGCAAGAGGCAGGGAGGAGTGCCTGTTAGAAGGCTTTAACTGTTTGCTTCAAATCTCAATCAGAATTGAGAGTCCCAAACCTATGCAACTGAGATAAACAAAATCTTGTTTTACTTTGCCAATTGCAGGTGAAGAGAAGCCACAGTGGGGGGTGAAGGGTTAACACTGCCTTGTTTCCTGATTGGGTCCCCCACAGTGACAATCTGTGTAAACAATCACACCTGCATTGAAAGGCACAGCTATGTAACATTTACATCTCCTTTACAGAGTTTCTCCCAGCAGGGAAGTGATGGGAAATGTTTCCCCAACTAAACCCTGTACATTGGGCTGCTGTCTGGAGGAGACAGTTTGCCCAGGGACCTGCCAAACCTACAGCCAGCCCTGCATGGATCACAAATGCTAGTTGCCTTGTTCACACAATAGACTGAACAGAGGTGCCAGCTGCCTCTACACAGTACAAGGGTTTGCATGAAACAGTTTGCATGCGTTGATTTGCAAAGCTCCACTGTTGTGTACACAGACCCAACTCCCATTGAACATTAGATGTGAATATCTGCGAGTGTGTACAGCTCAACTGCCTAGCTACACAGGTACACAGATTGTACCCTTGCTGTGTGTCACCTGCGAACACCCCTGGTGAGACATCCCCTTATGGGTCATTCATCAAAAAACCCTTAGAAGATCAAAGCTCTCCCGTAAGAGTTATTTCCCTAGGAATCATTCATTTGTATTCCTACCTGATAGTGAAGATGCAGGCGAAGGCTGAGGAGCTCAGCTTAGCTGTGTTAAGAGTGCCCTGTCAGGGCTGAGTGCAGCTGTTTGCCAGGGTCCGATTCAGCCAAGCTGTGCTGGCTCAAAATAACAATAAACCCAGCAGCAACTAAGGCTGTGCATCTGTCACAAGAACTTCCCTCTTTCTACCCTGAGCAGAAGATCTGGGGGCATCTGGTTCTGCTGCTTCAAGCTTGGCTGAGTCTCTGCGGTTCAGGGTGAGGTATTTTTGTTAGGAGAGTAGCCTACCCACGTTGCTGTGAGTTTGAGACCGGAGCAATGCATGGCTGGTCAGCAGGAACCCCTGACAGCAGAGGACCATCCAATGTTTCATTTAAGGAAGGGGTGGGCCCAAACATCAACTGCAGGCATCTGCCGGATTTCATGTGGGTGGCAAGAAAGGGGGGGTGGAAGAAGGAAAAACAGGGTAGCAGAGAGAGGGTAGCAAAAGTAACTCCATAGTGACCAATATAACATTTGTAAGCTGCTTTACATAACATTTTGTGTTTTAGCTAATATTATTGGAACTCCAGTTAAGATTAAACTGTTTGTGTGTTAACTGGTTTAATCCTCAAGCTGTATGTCATAGTTTAAATGCTTTCTTTTCACAGTATTTTAAAACTGATGTGACCAATATAACAATTTTGGAGCCTCTAGAATTCCATACCCTCCAAGTGTCCCTATTTTCCAGGGACAGTCCTCGATTTGTGGAAGCCATCCCAGTTATTGATTTAATCCCGGATTGTCCCGCTTTTCTTTAGAACCCATGTCCCCAAAGACAAGTCTACAATTTGAGGACAATTGAGGACAACAGAGGGATGCAAGTACAGGGTATACTGTACCCTTTGCCCTAGCCCTCCTCCCTTTACTGCTGGTCAAACACAACTCCCACCCCCAATTCTCTTCCCCAACTCCATTTGGGCTCTAATGCTAAAGGCGATCGAAACTGGAGGGAAAAACCCATTCAGCAGGAGTGAAGGCTGAGCAATAGACAGGGAGATGGTGCCCCTTGGAATTGCAGGTCTGCCTGAATGAACAATTATTCCTTGAGGCTTGTTTGGAGCAGAGTTCAATTGGAAGACAAGGTTGTGGAGTGGCCAGATGAAAGTGCAATTGAGGCTAATGAGGCTCCTGCAATTTTAAAGCTTTGTAGAATAAGTGTCATCATGTTGCTTGTGTGACCTGGTCATCTTCTTGCATCTGCCGCCCCCCCTCGCCCCCCCCCTCTTATAGACTCACTCACAGTGTCTCAATGCTGCTGAGCAAGAGAGATTTACAATTCCTTCCCAGAGCCAGCAGGTGGCCCAGAATACCTTGGAAGCTCTGTGTGTTTGCCTAATAACCTCTCTTGAACAAGGGGACTCTAGTTGCTGATGTGACTCTGGCCAAAACTAACCTGATGAAAAAGAAAGAGCTCCGCCTACTGACTATCAAAGCGATTGCATGAGGGGCTTAAAATGATGTACGGTACTCTTCGCTTCAGTTCCATAACAGCACCCTGGAATCCAGACTTAACCTACTTATCCAAAGAATTCTTCTCCTCTTTTTTTTAACTTGAAATTTTTATTATTTTTCAGGAAACATACAGTGCAACCCAAAGGAAGAATACAGCATTCTGTAAAAAACCAAAAACACACACCAAATCATGCAGACTAGCTATTGCTTTGTACAGCAGTATTCATTTTTAGTTAGCAATGCCAACACTAATGTTTAATATGTTATTTAAAGACACTTTGATCAGCTCAGCAAGCTCCAGGAGGAAACTAACAGCTAAGAACAGAATTGCCAAATGAGGGTTAAATTTGGATTAGAACAGATGTGGTCAACCTTACTCATCCCAAGGACTGCACTCTGTCCTGGGCAACCTTCTATCAACTGTGCGCCAGTGGTGGGCAGGGCCGGAGATTAAGCAGGAGGAGCAATGGATGTTAATTTCAGTTTCAAACAGCTGGATTGTTTTCACACACACTCATTAGAATCAAGACACCAGCTGTTCAGAAAACACAACAGTGCAGGGGTAGAATCAGAGTTCTGTTCATTTAACTGGTGTTCCCCATCATTAGTTTATTCTGCAAGGCAAAAAACAATAAAAATAAAAATGTGAATCTTGATTGCAGCCCTCAGCCAGCTTTTTAAATGCGTGTTAACACAAGGCAAAATTAGAAATAGGAATTGAACATAAGGCAGAAACATCAAAACACATGAGAAAGGTCTTTGAATCATTCTCTTCTACTGCTTCATCTGACTCCGTCCACCTGACACCACTGGCCTAAGATTCAAGGTCCTGGATCCAGCGCCTTGCTTGCTGCAGCTCATTTATGAGTTTGTCAATTGCAGATCTTAATTCATTGATCATGCTAAGGATCTTGTTTTCTGGGGAGAGAAAGAAAAACACTATGGTAAGTAGTCAGAGCCAGCCATAATATTGGACAGAGCAAGGAAACGTGTCTGAGGTGGCTTCTTTTGGAGTGTCGTTAAAAGACAACCATCTGAGTGGTGATGTGAAGGCCTCTGCTTCAGTTAAATCGTAGAATTGTAGAGTTTGAAGGAATCACAAGGGTCATCTAGTCCAAACTCCGGCAAAGCAGGGATCTTTTGCCCAGGTGGGGCTCAAACCCATGACCCAAAAATTAAATGTCTCATGCTCTTCATTCCTCCCCACATCCTGCTGCCAAAGCACTACCTAAAGCTAAGCCATGGTTTGCTTTCGCATTGTGTGCAAACCCAGGCTTGTGGTGGTTTGTCTCAGTTCCAAGAAAACATGAGCTGTATCCAGGCCTTGTTCTTGGTTTATCGCTTTTGGCTTGCTGAGATAAAGGCAATCTATGAGCCTGAGTTTGGATGCAATACTAAAACATGCTGTGGCTTCACTCTGGGTAGCGTAGCTGGGTGAGGAACAAAGTGCCTAGGATTTTCTGGGTACACTTGATGCTTCTCACTTAACCCAAATTCGGCTTAGCATGGTGTCCAAACAATGTCACACTGTGGCGAGGGGGGGTGTGGGTGTTAAAACAAAAGCAACAAGGGCAAGGAAGCCCACCTGGGGTGGTTTATTTTGAGGTACCATCAAAGGGCAACTAATTGTTCATTATTTTGATGGTTGTATTTTACCCACTATTTTTTGGAAATGTTCTGAGGAGGTCCCATTTAGCTCTTCTACAACTGCCCTAACATCAGAGAGTGTGAGGCACCAGATCTCAGATGGCATATTTTGGGGTTGTTAGGCACAGCGCCACCTGCGTCCCTGGAGATGCCAAGGATTAAACATAGGACTGTCTGCATACAAAGTGGATGCATAAACTTCACGAAAAGATGAGGAAAATGCTAACATTAATGGATGCCTTCCATGGTGAATAGTAGAGGTCATACTTACGACCCTGCGATTTCCTGAAGGAGCAGAACTCTTCCCAGAAAGCATTGCACTTGCAGGGTGACTGAGAAGAGGAAGGAAGAGCAAGCTGGGTTGGAGAGGATGGTTGAGGCTGGGGAGAAGCCTGAGTCATCGGACACAAGGAGCAGATCTGTTCCAGGGTGCAGCCTGGTAGCGAGGAGGCCTGTGTCTCTTCTGAGAAGGAAAGGAGAAGCATCTAGGACAAGTGTGCACATACACCCCTCCAAGTATGAAGTCAAATAATGAAATCTGTTCAAACCTGCGATGTCGGCTTACCATCTTTTGTCTTGGGTGTGGGCCCAGAGGTGGCATGGGGTAGCACGTCCAGGCAGGTAGCTAGAAAAAGAAAATGATACAATGAGTTATTTGGCCTATGGCTCATCCCACTATTATGACTCATGGCCATTTAGATTTGATTCTTTTCTTTGATTTTGATTGTAGGCAGCCATCTACATCTGGCTTACAACACAGCAAACCCACTGAGAGCAGGTGTGTGATCGTGTTTTGCCAGCCTTCGCAGCTGGGCTGCGCTTCCTGGGATGGTGACCAGCCAAGCTGGGTCTCAAAGGCAAATGTCCACCATAGTATTTGTCTTAAGGCTCTTAGTACGACTCAAGGATTGCTGGTGCCCTTCAAGGCTTGTAGGGCAGAAGGCAAAGAGACTAACAGTAGGTAAAGCCAGAGCCGTTGAGAGGCAGATCCAACTTTTTAACTTTAATTTTGTCCCCATCCTTTTTCCCTGCTGTGTACTAGAAAGGAAACAATGAGACTAAGGAGAATGAATCAGACAGTGCTGATTCTGATTAAAAGGCAAGGGCTAAAGACCCTTGGAAGACTCTTGGAAGCTTGTCCTTAGCTAGAAGCAAAGCTTAGAGGACAGGCAGGGCAGACATGCCTTTGGCAGGGTGAGGATGCTGCCTCAGCAGAAGCTGCCTATGCAGACCCCACCTGCCCCACTACCCCCATTTACAGGGGTGAGGTGGGGCTGGTATTGACCCCGATTTCAGGTGAAATCTCACTGAAATTGCACAAGATCTTGTGAAGTGCACAATATCTTGCATGGTTCAGGTCTCACCCAAAATCAGGCAGATCTTGCCTGAAATCAGCACTTCTCCATCAGTGAAGGAGATGGCAGGGAGTGTGGTGGAGGCAGCGGTGCCAACGGCAGGGCAGAGTGACACTTTCCATTTTGCCTCATGCAGTGAGAATGGATGGGCCACCCCTGAGGACAGAGTAAGGGAATCAGGTACTTGGGGTGGGGTCCTCATCAGCCATCTTCAGGAGTCTCTCCTTTCCATACTCACAATGGACACTCAGCCAAACTGGTGAGGACTGTGCTGAGCCTACTTGGTTGCTTGCTGCACAATAGTAACTGCCAGAATGCTCAGGGGTCACTTTTGGGATGGTCACTGTAGAGTCCAGCTGCAGCTGTTGCCCTTCTTTGTACCATATGTAGGTGAGCTCCTGGGGGTTGGCTTCTCTCACTTCGCATCTCAGCTTAACAAAGCTGCCTTCTTTGATCAGCCCCAGGGGTTCTCGCACAGCTTTCACATCCTTGGGACCAACTGCAGGTGGAGAGACCAAAGGCAATGTATCACATGAGGTGCCCCACCTGCCCTCGCACCTGAACACACATGCAAAACCCACCATGCACACAACAACTGCTGAATGCAGAGTCCTCTGTAGTAAATCTGAGTGATCTACCTCAATTTTCAGCTTGAAAAACACATGCCTGCTGCACTCAACAGCCCTGCTTTTGGCACTGACCTTTTATTAAATGTTGCCAACAGTGGGTGCTCACCCTTGAGGAGCATCAGGAAAAAAATTCTCCAAAATCTGTCTGCCATAGCAGGTCTGCCTGTGTAAGTTGCAACTGAATGGCTCACAATTTCTATAGGCAAGCATCCTGGCCTCTGTCATATATAAGGCTGCTAACAAGTTGGGATCTAAGGTGTAAGATCAGTCTATGCTAAGAGGCTCTATATGCCAAAGAGTACATCCTTCTTGTGATTTGGCTAAGTTATTTAAGTTCAGCCTACAATTCCCCACACGTAGCCAGTGTGGATCAAGTTTGTGAAATGACTGCACCTGCCTTCCCATAATCTCTGCTTGACTTGTATATGTGCTCCAGGACTTCACATATCTGCCATAGATAACCTTTTCCAGTGAATATGTCTAACTCTCCTTTAAATTTGTATATGATATTGCACTTTGCATGCATGTGGTCAATTTTCCTGGTACCTCCAGGGTTTTAATTTTGAAAAGAATCAGGTGGTAGCTGATGCGGAGCACATCTGTGATCCTGCCAGTCAAAGTCTGAGCTGCTGGAAGGCAACTTCCTGTGTTCCTACAGACCCTTCACTTCCTGAAACTGAGGTTACTTACACTGAACATCCAGGGTGATGGATGAAGATGTTGAATTTCCAATGGTGTTCCAGGCTATGCAGTAATAGGTACTGGAATCTCTGGCCTGGATCGCCTCAAAATGCAGCTCCTTGTCAGTTCCAATTATGCCAGACTCCCGATCTTTATACCAACCATGGCGGCTGGTGGCAGGATTCCCTCGGGAAGAGCACCGCAAAACCACATAGTCCCCTTCTTTGATTCTCCCTGGTGACACGTCAATCTTCACATCCTTTGGTGGATCTGGGGTAGAGAAATTATGGACACTTAAATCAGGACTCTTGTTTCAGGGCAAGAAAATGTGTGTGCTTCCTTGGGGGACAAGAGAACTGTGAGAGAGTAACGTGTGTATTCAGGGATTGGTGAAGGTAGCAAAACTGGCCCCACCATATGGAAGGGTGAGTCAGCCCACTCCAGGAGGGACATTTTGAGATACTGTTAAGAAAACAGATCATTACTATGCTGATGATTACTGTTTTTGGCATCCACCTGCCTTGAGAGACAATAGAGCATGCTTCCGTGGGTTTAGTCAAATCACTGCATTAGCAGCATCAAAGTGACCTCCATATGGTGCGAGCCTGGGCAGTGGGTATGGAGGTCCTGGGCTGCCCAGATTACAAGACCCCCTTCTCCGACTTGCTGATGTTGTCCACAAGAAAGCAGAGCAATATGATTGGCACCAGCTTGACTGCAGGAGTTGCCAGAAGGAGGCACCATCTATACAAGGCACCATCTAACCGTCATAGGGACACCACTCTGGATCAGAGTTTTCCTTCTCCTAGATGGGCTACGTTCCCAGGGTTGATGAGCCCATCTGCCCCTCACTCCCCTCTACAGCAAGTACAGAAACCATCTGCTTGACCATTGGACCCACTATGGTCTCATCTGTTCAATCTGCCAGAGCCTGTCTCCACACACAGGTGGTCAGAGTATGACTACACTTTTATCATCACCATTGACTGCCACCTCTGCTACCACCGTGTCAACAGAATCACTACTGCCACCTCTACTATATCGTCATCATCATCAGTTAATTAACTGGTCGTGATTATGATGTTTACTGCTGTGGTATTAATTTGGCCAACCATTATTTATGTACAGTATATGTTTTCATCCCACCTTTCCTCCCAGGAGCTCAAGCTGCTGCGTGTGGTGCTCCACCTCCCCATTTCATCCTCACATCAATCCTGTGAAGTAAGCTAGGCTGAGAAATGGTGACTGGTCCAGGAACTCCCAGTGAACTGCATGTCTGAGTGGGGATTATAATCCTGCTGCTGAAGATCCTGGTCCAGCATGCCACATTAATCAGGGTGAGCCAACCCAACCCCAGGAGGGAGATTTTGGGATAGCATTATTTTCTCATCATATCTGTTATCTGTCATATCTGTCATTTGCGGGTGCTGAGAAAGTCATATCTGTCATTTGGGGGTGCTGAGAAAGTCATATCTGTCATTTGGGGGTGCTGAGAAAGTCCATATATACGAACATGTTCAGATACTGCAGTTCAGCACCTACAAGGTTAAGTGAGGCCATGTCTAAGCCCCCTCCAGACCCAGCCAGCCACCAGATCACAAGCATGCCCTGGATGCAATCCTGCCCATCTTTGAAGGTGACCGGACTTAAAATTGTATTCTAAAAGTGCAAGATCAACAGTGCAGGTTTACAAACTATATTGGTGTATGGGTAGAATTGGAGTTAAAGAAGCTATTTCCTGCTTTCCATCCTGATAGTCACACAATGCATGAAAATCAGAAGGAGAAAGTAGTTCTCTTCTGAAATAAGAAAAGTCCCTCAGAAGAGGAAGGAAGAGGCAAGCAATGTCTGTAAATCCTGATGGTCATCATTCACCAGCCCAACAAAGAAACTCACACTGGACATTGATGGTCAGTTCTGAGCTACTGGATCCAACTGTGTTTTCAGCTGTACAACGATAGACACCAGAATCTTGCTCTCCTACAGAATCAAATTCCTTTATTGGGCTTGTCCATTCATATTTCCGCACATCGTTCCAGTACCATTGGTATGTAACTTCAGGGTTGCTACTGTTGACTGTGCATGCAAGAGAGAGTTTCTCCCCTTCTCGGACTGTGATTCCAGGCATAGCGCTCAGTTTAACTCTTTTGGGACCATCTGAAATAAATAAAATTATGGAAGTCATACGTACCATCAGAAACTGATAGAAGCTGCAAGGCTGGATGTCCTAGAATACAATCAGGGACCCTTAATTATAACCCCCTCCCATCTTGCAGGGATTCCTATCACATTTTGTACTCAGTAACAGTAATTTCCTTCCAAATGCGACAATCACATGCTTCTTGCTATTGTAAACGCCTAAGCCAGAGCCCACCATCCCTCACAAGATTCAGGGTTCAGACAATGGCTTTTCAGTTGAACAGAATCTTGTGCAGTTCAGACGGAATATTTTTTTGGCGGCGAACAGATTGAGCTTGAATCCTGACAAGACAGAAGTACTGTTTTGGGGGGACAGGGGGTGGGCGACTCCCTGGTCCTGAATGGGGTAATATGCCCCTGAAGGACCAGGTGCGCAGTCTGGAAGTCATTCTGGACTCACAGCTGTCCATGGTGGCACAGGTTAACTCTGTGTCCAGGGCTGCTGTCTACCAGCTCCACCTGGTATGCAGGCTGAGACTCTACCTGCCTATGGACTGCATGCTCTAGTTATCTCCCGCATGGACTACTGCAATGCACCCTACATGGGGCTACCTTTGAAGGTGACCAGGAAACTGCAATTAATCCAGAATGCGGCAGCTAGACTGGTGACTGGGAGTGGCTGCCGGGTCCTGAGAGATCTGCATTGGCTCTCAGTACGTTTCCAAGCACAATTCAAAGTGTTGGTGCTGACCTTTAAAGCTCTAAACGGCCTCAGTCCTGTATACCTGAAGGAGCGTCTCCACCCCCATCGTTCAGCCCGGACACTGAGATCCAGCACCGAGGGCCTTCTGGCGGTTCCCTCATTGCGAGAAGGAAGGTTACAGGGAATCAGTCAGAGGGCCTTCTCAGTAATGGCGCCCGCCCTGTGGAACGCCCTCCCTTCAGATGTGAAGGAAATAAGTAGCTATCTTATCTTTAAAAGACATCTGAAGGCAGCCCTGTTTAGGGAAGTTTTTAATATTTAATACTGTATTGTTTTTAACACTCCATTGGAAGCTGCCCAGAGTGGCTGGGGAAACTCAGCCCAATGGGCGGGGTATAAATTATTATTATTATTATTATTATTATTATTATTATTATTATTCCAGATTTTCCCCACATAGCCCAGTTTCATCCCCCCTGAATACTCACATTTCACATCCAATGTCATGGTGCTCTGGGATATCTCTCCCCCATTGTGGCTTTTCAGAGTGCATGTCAGCGTTTTCCTGTGATCCTCCCAAGTTGGAGTAAAACTCAGAACAGTCTGGACTTTTCCATCTCTATTGGTTGTTTTTTGGGAATACATACGACTCTCCTCCAAGCCGCTGAAAGTCAACATAATTGGCTCATCAGGGCAGTGGTAAAATACCCAGCAGGTCACTGTCGCTGGAATCTGTTCTCGGATTTGCGCCATTCTGCTTTCTATCTTGGGTTTGGGTGGTGACACTGCATGCAGAAAATTAAAAAGGGAAATTCCAAGTCAATGAACAGGCAAAGCTGTAGACCAGAAATGGAGAACTTGTGACTCTCCGCATGTTCTTGGACCCCAACTCCCATCAGCCTCAGCCAGCATGGTCGGGGGTGATGGGGGTTCTAATCCTGCCATTTCTGGAAGTGTAAAGGTTCCTCTCCCCTGATCTAAAAGGAAGTTGTTGAGCAAATAAGGGCCTTGATCATCTATCCAAAAATGGCAAGAAGCATCCAGGCCTACCTTTTACCCCTTCCGTGATGCAGCATGTTAGCATAGTTATACCTGCCTCTGAGTTGATATTTGTCAAATGGACATTTGCAGAAATGATTTTATTCTTTTTTTGTAGAACTTGCAGAGGTGGTTTTCTTGATTTGAAGTTCATATGAATTATTTTATTGTCTTTAAAACTGAATATAGCATCCCCATATTTAACTTGCACACCAATTCAGGGCCTTCAGGCTATAAAGTGGATTATAAATTTGTTACGTAATAAAATAAATATTTGATTCTTTTTGCATAGCAAAGTGCTGTGAAAAACTCAGCACTAGATCTGGCAAAGCAAATAAGTGCACAGTGCATTGTATCTATAGTAGTTAATCTACTTAGGTCCATTATTTTCATTGGGTCTACTCTGAGTGGACTAACGTTTGGTGCAATACAATGTAGCTGATGAATGACACGTTAGTTTCACACAAAGATATGGCATGGCTGCCTACCCAATACATTATTAGTGTCATTGAACAAACCCTTAGGAGGGGATTCCAGAAATGTTCTTCAGTTACCAGTCTACCCATTACTGTTAGTCTACTCTTGAGATCCCTTCCAGTTCCATAATTCTTTGATTCTTTGACTCCTATAGGATTATAATTACATCATTAGAAAAGTGAAAATTTAGGACTCCATCCGAAGACCTATTTATTGAACGTTCATCTTTATAGTCGTATCTCGGGTTACATACGCTTCAGGTTACAGACTCCGCTAACCCAGAAATATTACCTCGGGTTAAGAACTTTGCTTCAGGATGAGAACAGAAATCGCGCCGCAGCGGCACGGCAGCAGCAGGAGGCCCCATTAGCTAAAGTGGTGCTTCAGGTTAAGAACAGTTTCAGGTTAAGAATGGACCTCCGGAACGAATTAAGTTCTTAACCCGAGGTACCGCTGTATTTCCTTGCATTAAACTTACGCAGAGTATATCCTTGTTGACCATTTATTCTGATTTGATCACAGGGCAGTTATGTATCTGTTATTCATATTGATTTCTTTATGAGGTATTTACTCATCTTCCCACATTAGTCATTTGCTCACCCCACACATTTCAGTGCATGACCCTGTCACTTGCCAAGCTACAGAAAGGCTGATTCTTTTAAAAAGTGAATTCTTTCACTAGGGCAACAGAGCACTTAAAAGAGCATAAATCTACATTGGTGGTATGCACTTGAATCTCTCCCACAGAACAGTGACAGTCTGGAGGTGCCCTTAGCTTCCAGACTACTTGACCACTTTCGCAAGAGTGGAGAACAAATAATCTCTGAAAGTTTCTTACCGTTAACATTAACAGCAGCAGCAGCAAACCACTTGTCTAGGATACGTTTCATTCCGACGAAGCCATAAAGTCTTGCTCCATATGTGCCACTGTCATTTTTCTGGAGATGAGAGATCTTCAGGCTGCAGTTTCTGCTGGCTAAATTCCCAACAAACCTCACCCGATCCAGAAAGTGGGGACTTGTTGGAGTCAGGTACTTCTTTGGGGTCGAAGAGCCATTGTATAACATGATACCAGTATAATCTTTCAGATTGTCTTCATACTTAGCGTCAAAATACCAAATCAGGAAGAAGTTGTCAACCCGAACGTTCTTATATGTTTGATCGATCTTGCATGGAATCAGAATACAGGATCCTTCCCACGCAGCCAGATTATTCGGTGCAATAGTCAACATATTTTCATAACCCAAGATACCTAAATCGGAGAACAACATGTGATATTTTGCTCAGCTGCCACCATGCATTCAGAAGGATGTTGAAAATGATCTGAAGGCAGTGCTCTCTAATCAAAACTAAACTAAACTTCTGACTACCTCTCCAGACTGGTGGCTTTTTGCAGGAATATTCTGAAACATGTCAATAACAATGCAATAGTGGGGGATTTAAACTGGACCATTGACACATCATGGGACGCAGGTGGCGCTGTGGGTAAAAGCCTCAGCGCCTAGGGCTTGCTGATCGAAAGGTCGGCGGTTCGAATCCCTGCGGCGGGGTGCGCTCCCGCCGTTCGGTCCCAGTGCCTGCCAACCTAGCAGTTCAAAAGCACCCCCGGGTGCAAGTAGATAAATAGGGGACTGCTTACAAGCGGGAAGGTAAATGGCGTTTCCGTGTGCGGCTCTGGCTCACCAGAGCAGCGATGTCACGCTGGCCACGTGACCCGGAAGTGTCTCCGGACAGCGCTGGCCCCCGGCCTCTTGAGTGAGATGGGCGCGCAACCCTAGAGTCTGTCAAGACTGGCCCGTACGGGCAGGGGTACCTTTACCTTTACCTTTTATTGACACATCATCAGAAGCACTTTTAGGGTGGCAGGAGTGGTGTGGTCCCACTGAGGACTACCTTGCAGGGGGCATCAAGACAAGGTTTCAGAATGGAGCTACAGAGGTGGGGCTCATGGAATTTTAGTGTCGCAAAGGGCACTGCTGAAATCTGAGAGCCAAACATCCACCACTGCCTTCTCCTCATTCTTTTCTAAAGACCAAAGAGAGCAGTGGTGCTTAAATGAGACCAGAAGCCCAATTTGCTTTTGTTGGCACAAATCAAACCTGCATCACACATCATGCATTACCTGGAAGGAAGAGCAGACAAAAGAAGCTCCTCATTGTGGATTCATGCAAGGGCCAAATCTGGAAGCAAAGGGGTGGAAATGGATTATTGATTCATTCCGTAACAGTTATTTACCATCAAAAATATATTCCCCGAGTCATAAGAATGTGTATGGAAATGTGCTCACATTTCCAGGCTTTTATGCACCTTGGTGGAAGGAGGACAACCTGTCACATGCTCTATTCCAGTCCATTGAACTTCTTCTCCAATAGTACTCCTATGGGAAGGGCCGTCGCTCAGGGACAGAGCACATGATTTGCATGCAAAAGCTACCAGATCATTGCAGGGCAAGGAGAGATTGCTACCTCAAGTCCTGGGTTGTTGCTGCCAGTCTGTAGGCAATATTGACTTGAGCCTGTGTGGTGTAAAAGTCCCAGATCCAATGCCTGTCATCGCAAGGCATGGAGAGATTCCTACCTCAAGTCCTGGAGATTTGCTGCCAGTCAGTAGGCAATATTGACTTGAATGGACCAATGAGCCCGTGTGGTGTAATGGTTAGAGTGCTGGACTATGACTTGGGAGACCAGGGTTCAAATCCCCACTCAGCCCTGAAGCTCACAGGGTGACCTTGGGCCAGTCACCATCTCTTCGCCTTACCTACCTCACAGGGTTGTAGTGAGGATGAAAGGGAGGAGGGAACCATGTGCACCACCTTGAGCGCCTTAGAAAAAGAAAGGTGGTATATAAATGTAATAAATAAACAATAAATAATACCAATGGGCTGATTCTGTGTATGGCACTTTTCAATGTCCCTAACTACCAGGAAGACAGCCGTCTCCAGTAAGTATAAAGGATGGGGGGGGGATACAGATTCAAATCCATTATGTTCACAGCAGCCAGAAAGTTTTGCACGCTGCTGGGAGTTGTCTTTGAAATTCCTCTTCGCTTTCATAAACAATCAAAATCACCAAACCAGTACAAAAGGAACTTAATATTTTGTTTCTTTAACCAGATTATTGGGGGGGGGGGGGGTTTCACCAAAGCAACTCCCCAAACTGTTTTCTACCAATCAGCTAATGTAGCGCCCTCCCTATTTAACAGGAGTGATTCCAACGATTTCAATAGTTGTTGTCCAATCATTTTAGTAATTTCTGCAAAGACCACAGTCCAAAACACTGACACTTTGTCACAAGTCCTCCACCTGACCTGAAATTACCTCAGCTACTTATATCCTCAACAACATAGTCTCTAATTAGACACCTTCATTTGAAACAGTCTCATAGGAGTCGTATGCCATTTTTGCGTTATTTTCAATGCCTGGTCTCTCATGGTAGATAAAACGGATGTCAATGGGACCTTAACCACATAGAAGTCCAACCATTGTCTTCAATCAAAATATTCCAGTCTGACTCCCACATCCATTTCAGGCCTTCTGCAGAGCCCATATCAATGCTCAGAAGTAGGATATAAATAGGAGACACCAACCTCTCCACTTCCCCCTCAGAGCTCAGAAATACTAGCTTGATCTGCATGAGAGCAAGGAAACTTCTTAAGAACATTTCCAAAACAATGCAGCTATATTGCAAACAGAAATTGTGATTCTAAATAAGGAGAAACCAAATGGACCAGTTTCACCAACCATAGTGAACATGCACTGAATTTGCCTTGCAAAATTGAAAGCCCCTTTTCAAACTCCTGCCTGTTTCGATCTGGCCACTGACAGCTACTGCTTCTCCGCCATGCTGAGATGCTGCAGGAAGTACAGTGAAGCTTGGATCAGAAGACTAAGACATGCCAGGCCCTGTGACATCCCCCCTATGAGTGCAGGGCAGGGCAGGGTCTCAGGCTGCCCCATCAGCTGCTCCTGTCTCTGTCTCCTCTTTTTCGCAGAGGCAAGACTCAGCAGACTGAGCTGCCCTACTAGAGTTCATCCTCCCCTTGCAATAAATAGATTTTGCAACCTGTATGCCTGCCCACCCCAGTTGTAGTGGAGAGAGCAGAGCATCCCTTACAGAGTCAGGCCATCAACAGGATGTGCAGCTATACCCTCCGACATTCCTCAGATGAAAACAGGGACATTCTATTTCACATCAGTTTCTTTGCTTGAGCATTTCCTCCTGATCAAGTACAGTACAAAATTTATTAGTGGAAACAAACAAAACTGAAGTAT